TGATAATAATATAATACATACAATTATAATTATAATCAGGAATCAGAATGACTGTCTAAACCAAATAATCAAATATGAATAAAAGTTTAAAACATTCAGTTCAGTGCTCATATGTGAATACACACATAAAAAAACAAAAATAACTAATTTATAAAAATATTACCTAATGGTTTAGGTTTAATTACTTTATGTAGATATAAATATTTTTTACCAATGAAGTAAAAAAATTTATGGATGTGATTATGTTAAAATCATTGATAAAAAAATAAATATTAAGAAAATTGCTAGCTGATAAAAAGTATAAAAATAATGATCTAGGCAACTATAATATACACAGAAAAGCTGAGTAGGTGGTTGCAATGCAATAAAAAAATTTCACAAATTCTTAAAAGATGAGTTTTATGACTTACACTTAGTCCTACCGTCCATTAGCCTGTTCCATAAATCAAACTGCTCGTAATACTTGACCATGTGCAAAGAAATTACTCCTTGATCTTTTTTCTTTTTTTTTAAGTTTTTGTCCAGAGCTGTATCACCCCAATACCATCGGAACCAACTAAAACCATTGTTCCCCTTAGTACCGACATTATCGCTGGGACTAAGACCATTGCATACAGCTCGATCCAATGCTCGGCCAGTGATTTTCTTGTTTGCAAATTGTTCATCATGGATGCGTCGCACCTTCACAATTATATCTGTTGTTTTCAGCCTTGTATTTTTACCACTATCAAGACGACCATGGTCTCCCACACCTTTAGCATTACTTGATTTTTGATTATGATCACCAGCACTTGAAGAGATTTTTTCTTTTTCCTTGAGCTCCCGGCGTGCCTGTCGTTCTGTTGCTCGGCGTGTTAGCCGCTCAGCCACAACTCCAGTTAAATATACATCCTCCAGTTTCAAGTACGGCACAGTATTTTTGCTTACATATACATTTGATGTTGCTTTATCATCACCAGCATCTAACGTCTGATTACCATCACCACAGTCTTTTCCTAAATATGGTTTTACATCCAAATCTTCTTCATTGTTATTCTTTTTGTTTTCCTGATTACTATCTTCGTCTTCATCATCGACAACGTCAAAATCTTTACCCAGTGCCGCCTCATACAGAGGACTAACTGCTGACCGAGTCATAAGGTAAGCTGGTCCTGTGCAGAAATCAGGATAAACTCGACTAGCATATTGTGTTCGGGAAACATAATATTTACTATTAAGTTGTCGAATTGGACGCCAACCGTGTGCTAGTCGTCCCCATATAGTAGGCGGCAGTTCAATTTCAAAACTAGGGGTGTTTTCAGACTCAAACATATCTGTGCCTACGGTGAATAATTCATTTGAGTTATTTATGGGTTCAAGGGGGCGAGTATGACGTCCGTTAACACTAGAATCTGTAACATTTTCTGTTTCCACTTTGTTGATGAATCGCAGTAGTCTACGTACATCAATGAACATGTCATCATCTGTTTTTAATAGGTACCGAGCCCATGGGCAATATTGACGGGTCCATTCAAGAGCAGCGATAGATTTCAGAGTCAAGTTKGTGTAAGTGTCTCGAGACTGGCACTGTATCAAATCACCATATCGACCATATTCTCGTCCTAATACTCGTTGCACAGCCTGTTCTGCTTCGTTCAGTCCATGCATAGCATGCGCGTCTAAGCCTTCTCCAGGATTTGGTTTTTGGTCTAGCGAAAATTGGTACAACCTAGGATCACCATTCAAAGGTTCTACTAATTTCTCTTTCTCTTTTGGTTTGATATTATTATCAATATTGTGCTGATTTAGACGGATCTTTAATGCTTGTTCTTCGTCCTGCAGTACTCGAGCCACTGGGTCTGTCTTAGACATTTGAGGTGTTCCTACTAGGAATGCCATGCTCACACTTGGACCATATCGGTTCATCCATGTCATACGAATAGCTTGTCGGTTTTGAGAATGTGTTGGAGCTGCTGCTGAAGTGATCAGCACTAATAACCTAGTGCTAGTGGAACAAAGGCCTGCATTTTGGATCCGGAATCCAGGTTCATACATATCAGCGGCTGTCACCACACCTCTAGGTGGTTTTATCTTAAGCTGTTTTCTTTGTGGCTTCTTACCATTGTTACCACCACATTCCAGGTTTGAGTGTGTGTTTCCGGCAGTTATTGTTGCTATGTCCACAGTTGCATTTGACTTCACTCCGATCATCAAATTACTGTTTTCTGAAAACAATGAATTATGAAATAATAATTGTGAAATTAATGAATAATTAAGAAATAACATAACAATATGAGCAATAAATTGCTTGCGAGAAGTACAGAAGAGACTAACAATACTCTGAGTAAGGTTATTGCAGATTTGCATCATAAATAATGGTTATGAGTTAACTGTCTCCAAAAGTAAGTTGCATATGTGTAACATTGGAGGTTTCACTCGATCACTCTATCTTTAAGTTAAATAAGTTTCAAATTCATATTTCATGTTAATAGAAGCCTAACCCAAATTCATTGGATTATGTCAATAAAGTATAATTYAATTTAATACAAATAGATAGAAATAAAACAAATCAAGTACAAAAACGTATCAAGAATGACATATTAAATTTGTTATAATATTGAGAAAAATATGTATGTTTTATGTAATACAGTTCATATTAATCATTAATTTTTATAACTAATAAKTATTATAAATTTTTCATTTTATTATAGATTAAAATATCATTATTTTAACTCTCAAGTAAAAACTATTTCAATTGACCTTTCAAATTTCAAACTGAATTCATAAAATGTTTAAAAATTCATCTTGCATACTAATTTATTATAGAATATTTATTGTAGTTACCTAATGACTGTTGGCTGTATGCAACAGGTGTCACTATGCCACCTGTACTTCCACTAGTACCATATAGACAGTATAGAGCACCCATGATGAATAGAAGAGCTGTAGTGACAATAGCTTTAAAGCCACCACCACCGCTACCATTGGCCGTTCGAGTTAGCTTCCTAATGTAACAACCAGCAACTATATTGGGGTTATATCTATTACAACCACAAAGTGACACACCAGACAGGGCGTTAGAGACGCTACGTCGCACCGCCGTAAACATAACAATGTTGATGATTAATTTGGTTCACAACCAAATGTAGTTTTTTATCACTGAAACAAATAGATTTTATAAAATTTATTCTAAATTTTTAATTGTATTATATTGATCACAATTTAAAAAAAAAAAAAATAGTTATATTACCTATATTTAATTGAATGTTAGATATTTATTAACAAAAAAAAAAATAAACACCATTTAATGGAATATTTGAATTTAAGCACTAAATTAAATATATATTGGTAGTTTTATCAATGTTATCAAAGACAATCTATTATTAATTGGGCCAGTTCAATTTTTAATAACAAGTCAATACCTCATTTTGAAATAATATTAAACTAATATTTAGTACACTTTATGTTATCACAATGTTTATTATATAAACAGAGAATTTAATCAACTGCAGATTCAATATTGAATTTAGAATTACACTCACATTTAGTGTCTTTTAAACCTCTTATATAGTTCATCACTATATTTAGACCAGGGTGTCAGTGATTCCTAACCATTTTTATTTAACAGCGCACTTGATCATTTTAAAAGATTTCATGGTACACTTAAATAAATAATAATGAATATAGATAATGCTCTATTATATGATATATTGTTATAATTATATAAATTTAATGTGATATTCGAGACTCCATCTGTGTACACACTGCAGCAATAATTCCACGACAATCGACATTTTCCTTGGGGATAGACGTTTCAGTTAATAATATTACTGATTGTGTAAGTTGATTGGTATGGATAAGTATTGATATGTGATGAGTCAGTATAATTAGAAATTTGAAGTACCCAAATGTATGTTTTAGATTATTATGAATATCTTTTTTGTATTTCCTACTCTAAAAAATTAGTCATAAGTAGGTAATATTATATAAATAAATATAACTTAGGATATTGATTAGGTAGCAGTTGTTAGTAAGAATTTAGATTCCAATTAATGTATGTAATTAAATTAACAGTATAATATTAAGATATTAAATATATTTAATTGGTTTTGAGAGTACTGAACAAGCATCCATGTAATTTTAAACAATAATTTTAGTTTTTCAATGATAAGGCCAAGTTATTGACTTTTAATTAATTGCTTAAGGAGTTAAATATTAAAACTAAAGCTTGAATTTATGTATAAGTAAATACATATTTTTATCTAATTAAAGATCCATTTATGACTGTGTGTAGTGACTGATTATTAGAGTGCATGAGTTCCCTGAATGCTTAATGTAATATAAACATTATAAACTACAGATATGATTCTTAGAAATCTGTTAAGTAGGTACATAGTCGCAAGTACCAAATTAATTTTTTTTTATTTCAAAATTCATTTTTACTTAAATTTTGTTTAAAAATAAAATCATTTYCGACAAACACAGACAAGAAATATACAAATTCAAAATTCAAAATGGACTTCTAGAAGTAAATATGTTTTTCAATTATTATCTTATCTAAATACACTAACATCGACCCGCTTTCATCAGCCTTAAGGTTCTATAAATCAGATTGCAAACATTAGACTAGGTAATAAGATATACATTATATTCATTCCGAATGAATACGAAAAGATTCAACTCAATTAAAGATGATTATCATAATGAACATACATCATAAAAAAAAACATTATTTAGGTAGGTTCTTACTTGATGATGATGATTACAAAATAGTTAGGACAAGAGTATTAGTAGTGAAAAAACTATTAAAGGAAACAGGTTAATGTTAATTAAATAATCACTATAACAAATTTTAATAAACTGTTATGTAGGTGCACAGACCTTATTTAATACACCTGGACAATAATGTTACCTTCTCAAGTGTAGTAATATTCAGAGTATAATTGACTGTTCATCTACGGTCGACGTTCAACAGATGGAATTGCACGGCATTAAACACTACAGGTGTTCAGGGCAGTAAAACTAGAGGGAAAAATGGTTGGTCCGCGTAATATCACGAAGCCGATGTCGACGTCAAAGCCGACACCGCCGCCGCGCAGCACAACTCTTGGGTCTATTAGTCGTTATGGTCGCGTCTTGGTCCACTCTAGCCAGTCACCACCGAATGAGATGTTCTACGACCACCAACTCAAGCAATCGCGACCATCGTCTATATGACAGTAGCGGAATACGCAGAGAACGAGCGTGTCACTTCAAACGACTTATTGGCCATCTAAAAATCTACATGAAGAATTGAAGACTAGACCTGTTCGCCTTGAACCAGCGATGACGACGACGACGACGACGACGACGACGTGCGACTGTGACCTCTTCCGCCGCCGTTATTTCATTCGACACTCGATAACGGAACGACCGTGCCATGAACGCGCGCGGTGACGGTTGTAACGAAAACTAACGAAAGATCCTCAAAAAATATCACAGCGATAATAATATAATTATTGTCGTCGAGGGCTGCTGTTTTTGTTGTACTCTTTGCATAATATTGTTACTAACGATGCACTCAGCACAGTATTTCCGTCTACCGATTAGCTTCCACTGACGACTCTCCGTTATCATTAGACATCGTTGATGAACGCACTAATGCAGCRCTGCCAGCACTAAGTATCATCTACTAACGAACAACGATACGTTGGGCTGACGGCCCGATYGTGTGGCAATGCAATGGTGTGTTGTCGTTGTATGTGTGACCGTGAAGTCCGGAAAGCGAACTGCGCGTGCGCTCGTCGCTTCAACTTGAACGTGATAATATTATGGTAGTACGAGTGTCGGAGACCGGACTACCGGAGTATACTTTATAGTTGTATAATACAGTATAGTATATATGTATAATATATACATTATATATAGTTTATAGTATATAGTATTGTTTTATGGTTGTAGTAGGGCTCTTGTAGTACTACAATAATTCAATTATTACAATAATAGTAACGGGMCAAMTGGCAACTACTAGTTGGCAACTAGTGAATAGTGATGATAACGGCCGTCGGTGGCGGCGGTGTCGTTCTCAATCACGAACTGTATAACCGGATTGAAGCCCAAAACAAGATAATATTATATTGTAGTCCATTGATCTATCTCTGCGACTCTGTGGTCGACACTCAAGCTATGCCCAAAGCACGGTTTAAGATTTTAAACCGTGGCCCAAAGCGATGTTTCCCGGCTCACTTGGCCGCCGCGAAATTCCTACCACCTACAAGTTACAACCAATCGCGCCCCTCATCGCTCAGTTATCACTACACTTGCCGCTGATAACAGACGTGGTGATAAGCGAACAATCACACCGCTTATCGCTAATGCTCGACTGCCGCTTGCGCCGAGTCCACGTATACACACGGCGCGCGTGGGGCTACAATATTCGCGACGTTCTTGTCTTCTATTCACAACAACGCAAGATAAGTAAGCCGCCATCACTTGAAGTGGTGACGTTTAGTTTCTCGTGTTKTGTTTTTTATTGGATCGGGTGCGGGGAGTACTAACTCGCCGGCCGGCTGTCACTGTTTATACGCCCTCGTTTTCGTCGACCGCCTTCTCTCCGTCTTATTCTCTTCTCTAATGCACATTTTCGTTTTWCATTTTGCACTCCTGACCGCCCTGCCAAAGTCTGAGCACCAGCAGCAGTGATGAGTACCTTGAAGGTCTTCGCTGGAACCACAATGATCACACCAATCGTCACTACAGCGACAACCGTCAAATAGTCGCAACTGTACTTCATATTCTACCACATTACCTCTACTTATGTGCAGGTCTGTAGTTCTATCGTGAATTTACCTAAATATCACTGTATATTATGCAGTAGCGGCTCGTGAGATTCACATAAGGTGGAGCACAAAAAATGTATTAGATACTTGGTGTAAGATGGTAAAAAATATTAATTTGAAATTTTGGAACAATATGATTGTAATACGTTTTTATATTATATTAGTTATTAGTTGATTTGAGAGGATACTAGCATCGATTATTGGTTAATGTACATTTGTACTGTGGAGCGTTATTATTTTGACGAATGACACAATATCGAGGCACAATAAAAATGGGTTCAGTGCACACATTAAATGTGCTCCAAACTACCATATATTATTAACTGACATGCAAGACACGTAGCTAATATTTACTCGGCCACCCAGAGCACAAATAATTTATGCTCCACGAAATATTTAATCGTTTATTTGATGGYGTTAAAACAGTTTAGAAAATGTAAACCGTTTTAAAAGTTATAACAGTGGTTTAAACCCTCGCACTATGTAGTTTAAGAATTTAAAATGGATTTAATTTCAAACCATTTTAATGTCATCATTTAAACATAGAATAGAAATACTTCTCAATATAAAAAGCTACAAACCCTTTTTTTTTATTAATCTATATACTTTTTTATCACAGACTTTATGCATAACAATCAATTATGTGTTACTATAGGAATCCAATAATTTTTATGCAATTCTTTTAGATGATTAATGTGCTCCTGTAGACCATACAACGAGCCACCACTGATATTATGAATAACTATATATTAATTGTGCATATCCATTTATATAGTTGTATGTAAGTAGATACCTACTTATTTTTAAGATCGAGTATACAAAAACTAAATAAGTAATTATAACTTCCTTTGTATAGTAATATGTAGAATAGTAATTATTAAGTTAAATTAAATTAAATTCTGAAATAGTATCTTAAAAATATTAATTACTATTATTACTACTTGAATTTTTCTCTACTAGTCTTATATAATACATCAAGTAAAAGCTTATATGAAAAAAAAATGTTGAATTTAAACTGTATTGTAGTTTTCTGTGTTCATTCAGATATTGCAACCTATCAGAAGACAGACACTAGTACACTACACAGAGAGATATTTTGAGTGTCCTAGTATCCCATAAAAAAACATAATCATGTTTATTTATAAAAAAAATATAATTTTCAATGAGTAAGTAGGTATCTAACTGATTTTCAAAAACACCTCCCAAAGCTTTTTTTTCATACATCACTGAAACCAAGCATGCACTGCTTTAATAAATTGTATAATTCATTGGCTGTAACAGATTTTATTGCAACCGAATTCTGTAATACATTTCACTAGTTTGTGAGCCCATAATTTTAACATATACCTACTTGATACTTGATAGAAAATTAAAAAAAAAATCATCGATTACTTCCAAAATATATACTAGTAGCACTTACTTCCAAACAATTTTAATAGCTTAGTAAAACAGTAACTTTTAATTATTGTCAGAGCCTTAGCTAGAAATATTGAATAGGGGACATACACGATAAAATGCATACCTAGATACATTTAAAATATATTAACATTTTATTTTGTCCTTGGATATGCCATTATTTATTATTTCATTTTCATTTATAAAATACTCTTCATTAATTTTACGAAATTTTCTTGTCATAAAAAATATGCAATTAATTACTATTATAATTTTATTTGCTTTTACAGTTTACCTAGATGAAACTAAATTAATTATATTAAAACTAACAAAAAAAAAATGTTTAATAAATTATCATAGGTAATACTATGATAATCAGATAGGTAAAATAAGTAGAAAGAAATGATTGATCAACAAAAATGTATGTGTAGATCAGTTTTTACTAGGGATCATAAATAGGTTACTAAACAAAAAAAAATCGAAAACAAAAAATAACTGTAAAAAGATATCGGAAATCTAATAAAAATAAGATTAAAATAAAACAACTGTATGAAAAATTTTGCTACCGAAAAATTTGTAATCCTGATAATTAATTGTCAAGTGAATGCATTAGAATAACTTTTGATTCCTAGATGTATTTTATAACATTTTATGTTAAACTTTCGARTTCAGGATTATTTATCTTTTATTCTAGAACTAGTGCTTCACTTCATTAAAATACACTTAAACATTTTAAGGCATTTTTGCAACAAAATTATTAAAAGTTTTTTGTGTGATAAATTATGTTATTAAAAACTTTAGAAAACGTAAAACAAAAAAAAATTTTTTAAATCGATAATCTAAAAATTTAAAACATTTTCTCTCTTTGGACATTTTATTATTTTAATTTAATAACGTGTGTTGTCTTTTTATTTTTGATATAAATATTACCTATATTATTACCTWAATATAAATATTTTGTATATATAATTWACGATATACTACATTTTTATAGTGATGTTCAAATAAAACAAAATAAATGAAAATCTATTATTAAAGGATAACAAAAGAAAAAACGATTTTTTTAGTAGGCATAGCTTTATTTATTTATTTTAAAAATTATATCGGTTTAGCTTCAGTCAATAAATAAATTAATAATTACATTTTTTAATTGTTCTATAATGTAGATACAATATATTCTAAAATAATCGTASTCTTGTTCTTTTGTTTTTAGATTGTAAAGAAATTTGGAAACTTCACTTCATTTATCGTGGATAACTTCTTTTGGAACAACAATACTCCATAGTTGGGATTTTAACACTACATCACTGCTTCTTCTATTGTTAAAATCTCAATCCAATATTATTATTGCACACTGTCAATAGTCAATACAAAAGCATCAAAAGACATAACTCGACCACCAATATCGTGACTACCTACATCAAAATATAAAGATTATAGCTTGTATATAATGATTCCACTATCATCTTCCACATCGCAGAGGAAATCAAGCGTGGCAGCTAAAATGACAAGTGGCAGCTCCGCGGGTATGCCTTCACCAACCAACCTCTTGACGAAGCTCAAAGGAGCTGTGCGTTCAGTTGTATCGGACTCGAATGCCCGMAACTTGATGGGCTTCCTGGTTCTAAACTTTGTGTTTGCTTTCGTGGAACTCGCATATGGCATGTGGACAAATAGTTTGGGCCTGATATCAGACTCGTTTCACATGTTCTTTGATTGTACCGGCCTAATAGCCGGGCTGGCTGCTCAAGTTGTCAGTCGGTGGCCAGCTGATGATTCGTTCGCCTATGGTTATAAACGCGCTGAAGTCCTGGCCGGATTCGTCAACGCACTGTTCTTGTTGTTCATAGCATTTTTCATWCTGACGGAAGCTGTGGAACGGGCCATTGAACCACCCGAGGTGCACCACGACCGCCTTTTCGTTGTCAGCGTTCTAGGACTGCTCGTCAACCTGGTCGGTATATATGTGTTCCAGCACGGTGGTAGCCACGGGCACAGCCATGGTGGTCACGGTCATAGTCATGGTGGTGGTCATGGGCACAGTCATGAAGACGGCCACGGACACAGCCACGATGGCGGTAATCACACGCACGAAGACGACCTCTACAACCAGCACAACCAAGTGTCCATATCGATGGGTGGCAGTGGCGGTCACCAACAGAACAATGTGTCAGTGCCAACAGTCAGTACCGGTCAGAACCATCTAATGAAAGGTGTGCTACTACATATCTTGGCTGACACGCTGGGCAGCGTAGGGGTGGTGATCTCAGCGCTATTAATGCGAGCTTTCGGGTGGATGCGCGCAGACCCCGTTTGCTCAATATTTATAGCCGTGCTCGTGGCAGCTTCTGTGTGGGGCCTACTTCGCGACTCAGCCCGCGTCCTTATGATGCGCACGCCCGTCGAGCTAGATGATGAGCGACGCGTGCTGGATGCATGCTACTCCCGACTTCATCGGTACCATCCTGCCGTCATGGGCATCCAGGAACCGCGGTTTTGGACGTTGTGCGCAGACACCTATGCAGGCAGCATCAAGATCGAAGTGCGGTCTGGACTCACCGGGGTCGGAGGTGGTAATTCTGGCAACAATGATTAYGCCGCGTCCTTGTCGCCAATACAATTGGCTAGCCAATCTAGCCTCCAGCCCGCGGACGCTGCCCGACTATTGCACGACCGCGACCAATTCGCCAACAGTCTGGTTCGATATGCGCAACAGGTGTTTGGCGCTGTCGGTGTCCGAAACTTGTATGTGCAGATCGACTACGCGGGTGATGATTCGATGCACAATCATCCACATCACCACGTCAACGATGTGCAGCGGCAAAACAACTATGCAGCAGTCGGCAGCTTGCTTGATCAACCGCAACAGCAATTCCAGACATACAATCAAACTGTCTATCAACAACAACAGCCACAGCAGCAGCAGCAGCAACAGCAACAGCAACAGTACACCAATCCACTACTAATGATGTAATATGATAAACGGTAGCACCTCATATTGCCACCATCCGCACGAATCCAAAAGATTATGGCTACCTCCAATCTCCGAAAACTATGCTGGTAGTTTCAATGGCAACGTTAACAAATAAAAATCCTTTCCATTTTAATTATACTACTATTTTTACTTTATTTATGATTCCCATTTTATATCATTCATATAAACGTGTGACATAAATTATTGTATCAAAAATAAACAAGTTATTTTATTTGTACATTATACATAAGAATTTGTATTTGTATATTGATTATTATTGCATTGTTACATATTTTGTTGTTTCTACACAATTATGAAGTAAACAATTAGGAAAACTGTCAACTTTGCAATGAAACAAGAAAACAGTTTAACAGTGCGAAGACTACTATTTTAAATAATACATATTATATTAATATATTTAAAAATGTTTGATATTGTCATTATATTCTCGTTTTTATTGGTATAAATGTTGTTAATGTCAATTAAAAATTGTATCAATTGAATGATTTTTTTTGTGTGCTAGGAAATAAGTCTAAATTTGGTTTGTTAATAACAGTACCTATTACCTTTTACCTATATAAAATATTTATTTGAAAAACTATTATTTATAAATTATAATTGTGGATTGGAACTTAATCCTTTAAAAAGTACCAATTACTTAATATGCATGCTTAAAAAAATACATATACCTTTGCATTTTTTAAATAGTTAAGAATTAAAGCTTTAAGTTAATATTATTAGGCCAATTAAATTAATTTGGTGGACTTATATACTTATGTCATATAAGTGGCGTATTTAGGGGAGTTAGGAGTTCAAACCCTCCCTCCCTCCGAAACGTATGGTTGTTTGGGGCATAAGTTATGCCGCATAACTATTGATTAGAATTTAAGAGGGAGTGTTGAAATGTTTATTTTTTTGTATCCCCYCCTCCCAAAACAAAAAAAAAAAAATTCTAAATTCACTATTGGGTACAATAAGTGCATAAATGAAAAAAAATTGATGCCAAAAGTTGTAAATTTTTAAACCTTAATCAACATTTCCTAAAATGACTAGTTAATAATAAATGAATAACTTTTTGCATTTTCATTGAATATTATTCTTTTTAAATTGATATCAATTTTTTTTCATTCAGCAGCATATCTGCAAGCAAATAAAAGATAGACGAATTTAAATTTAATAAAACTGCTATGTATCTAATCAAAAATAATTTTAATTACCTATTTTGTGAAATACTGAAATGTATTGTGTAAATACGACCAAATTTTGCTGCGACTGCACCTGTTTAGTAAAAAACGATAATGTTTTGAAAAATCATAAAATAATCAATGTAATTAACTGACAAAATTTATTTTAAAACCATTCTCTTAGCTTGGTGACAATATTAATGACAAATTTTATTCGTTGTTTTCTGTTCTCTMACGACAATTTTTATTATTACCGTTTTCTAATTGATAATTTTATTTATTACTCATTTCGATTTGTTATATTGAGTTAGTTTTTTTATACAAAAGTAGATATATTATAGAATGCTGACTATTATATTATGTCCGATATTACCTGGACATAAAATTTGTATTTGTATTAATAAATATATATTTTGTAAAAAAATGTTTTTGTCATATTTTTTCTATTTTCAAATTTTAATACTAATATGACCTATGGCAAAACTAATCCTGTATCGTTACTGTTAATAATAGAGTGAATTCAAGTAATTCACCTATTATCGAACATTAAACTAAAATCATTACCTGTATCCACTTTTGTTGGCTTTTTTAGATTTAGATGTTTTAATTTCTTCACAATTTATAAGTAGTGGATTTGTAGGTAAAAACTTCCATACAGTTTAAAATATTTTTAAAATAGCCAACGTAGGGACACAGATAATATTCTAACTTACAGTTTGATAACAGGTGAATTCACACTTTGGTATGTTAAAAATAATAATACATGGTTGGTTCTGTACTTCTGTTAAACATAAATTAAATTACACTTGGATCAGAGAGAGAAAAAAAAATAGGTAGTTCACTGATATCTTCTAGTTTTTGAGTATTTATGCTATAAACATACATTGAACTCTCCTATTTGTTTTAAGATATCATTTCTTTCTTCTTTTTCTTTCAAACAACTTATGGCAAAAAATGGAAATTTCTCCTATTATTACTATTATAATCTGTAAGCTGTACCCAAAAGCTACAATTTACAAACAAAAATCTCCATCATAAATTTAAAAAAATTTTCTTACATTAATTGGAAATCAAAAATTATTGAGATACCTAACAACTCTATCCTATCTTTTAAGTTGGACCAAGCAAAAGACACTTATATGAGCATATGCTCATATGTCAGTGTAATTATTTGTTTTCTCTCTCTCAGATCCACTCACAACATAAATTATATGATTAATAAAATACTCTTTTACCAAATATTCAAAGTATTAGTTATGCCCCTTAGTCTTTACATTCTAAAAATATGAAATTTTACTAACAAGTACTTGCAATTGATGATTATGAAAAATAGTGTTTATTGGTATTGRCATTAAATATCCAAGTAAAAAAAATTTAAAAATAGAACAATAACAAAAATTATATTATTTTTTAATGAGATATTTTTAGAATTATATTAATAAATGGGAAAATACAATTTCAGTAGCAAAGATGATTCATTATTATCTAATGACTAATAGGTAGTACTTTATTTGAACTCTTTTCAAACAGTGTGTCCTATACAATCACTCATGTTTTGAAGAAAAATAATTATTAATAACAAATATTATATAATATAACCAATACATGTCACTACAATTTAGTGTAACACTAACTAATGATACTCTGTATGCAACATAATATGATTATTAGTATTATTTAATTGTTATATTATCAAATGAGATTTAAAAATGAACAWTGTATCTGATTTAAAAAATAATATTATAATCTTTATTTCTTTCAAACAGGCTTTTAAATTATTATTTTTACTTGCATGGTTTGTATATACTATATAGGTTATTTTGTTACCTATGTGCTATGATAATTTAGTACAGAATATTGTTTCCTAGTTCCTAGATTCATAATAGTATTATAATATGAAATATTGTTTTTATTCAACTCATAAAAAGTATCCTTATCATAAATAATGAATATAATTTTGCACAATATTGAATAAAGATGATAATTTTTTTACATTTAATAAAATAATAACATAAAGAGTTTTACATAATATGCATAACTTTTATGGATTGAATAGAAACATTTAAAAAAAATGTATTTACATAATAATTAATTAATAGAATCATTTTGCATTTCTTCTCTAAATATATAACAATATTTCAGTTACTTAACAACAATCCTAATATTGATCACTGGTGCATCATGGTTTGTAACTTTTATTAGGTTAATTATTTTTTAATCAATTCATATTATGAATTTCAAAAAAAAAACATTACTCAGAGATATTAGCTAATATTATAACTTAACAATTCAAAATTTAACTATATAATTAGTAAATAATAATACCAATGATTTTATAATAGACAAAATAGCATGTGCTAGGAGTATAATTTGACTGATTTAAGCCATAAGGAGCTAAGTAACAGTATGCATGATTGGATAGTAGGAATGAGTCCTATTTAGTGGAGAAAGTTTTATTATTTATGATATTTATGATACTATATGTGAAAAAATATGGATTTGCTTCTCCTGAACACTTAAAAAAAGTCACTTAGCCTCTTTTGCCTTAAGCCTGTTGAATTATTATAATATCTAATATMTATGGCAATACTATTATGAATGTGTTAAAGTTAAAAAATACAATCTATATTCAACGATGTATAAGTATATATTTTTTATTATAAAATATTATCAAATGACAATTATTAACGAATATAATTATAATTAATACAATTAAAAAAGTAATATTCTTACAACACATTAAGTTTAATGTATTCCAAATAATACTGAAGAGTGAATAAAGTATAAACAGTATATTACACTGCTAGGATAATTCAATATTTTTATTTATATTCATCAATACCACTTATATGATTTATTTATATTTAAAAATGTATTATATTGCTTATTAATAAATGCAGATATACATTTTAATTAAATACTTTTGATGAATTTACCAAAAGATAAAATGTATGTGATTTTCAAATATTTATTTTAATCTCATTTTATAACATTGAGTARCATTATTAAACTTAACATAAACAATTATCTAGTATAGTGCATTGTTTTTACAGTTATTTTAAACACTATATTAAATAATTTAATATGTTTAAAGTTGGATTATTAAAGAATGTCATATGCTCATTCAGTTTAGACAACATTAAACAATATGATAAAATTGAAATCAACATACGGTATGAAAATAACATATCAATTTTAGTAAAATATAAACATAATATCATATTCCATATAAAAATTTATATATTTCTGATGAATATTAAAAATAATATATTATTAATATTTTAATGAGTAATGTCAAAAATAATACACATTACTGCGAGTATATCAGTTAATATATTAAATTTAACAATGTTACATTTATTTGTATTGTGATTGATGACATAAATCAATAAATCATCACATGAAATTTGTATTTCTTTGATATCATTATTTAATAAATATTACAATAATGATTTTGTACATGAAGAATAATTGGAGGAAATAAAAAACAATTCTTAAACTACACTATGACAACATAAAAAAAATTAAGTGCATTGCGCGTTTTTCAATAAAAATAGATATTTTACCCATAGTAGAAATATATTAAACAATAATAGTATAATAAATAATAATTAATAAAAAAAAAGTAATTGAAAAATTGCAAATACCAAAGGTAATGGTATACATATAAATAATACAAATAAAAACTAATAAGTAAACAAAAATACATATTGTTTTCAGAAATAAATAATACTAATAAGTAATAAGTTAATAATTAAGTATGTGAATGATACATGGATATAAAATTACCGCACAATGTAAGTAATTTATAAGACGATAATGATTAACATATTGTTACTACTTGTACATAATAATGGTATAGCAGTTAATTTAATAATATAAACAGGTACACGCACGAATATAACCAAATCAGTGGCCGTAAAACACAACAGTTGACTTGGGAGTTGTAACTTGTACCTAATACAATTATATAATAATAATAAAAAATAAGTTAAAACAAATTAATTTATAGATAATAGGCAATAACTACTACCACTAGTGCACGGAGGATAAATACGTTAACTCACAAAGTGGTAGTGGTTAGCAATTTAAGAAAAAAAAAAAATTATGTACAATATTGAACTAGCAAATTATTGCACATAATATTATGGATGGTAAATAATATTATTGTATAATAAATTATTTTTATTAAATAATAACTATATTATTATCATTTACAATTTTTTTTTTAAATTATGATATATGCGACCTACGCATGAGCGTGGTTTATTGTCTTTTTACAATTATTATTATTAAATTGTCCCAGTCTGAAGTTCAGTTGCGGGCGATAAAATCAAAAATAATTATACATAAAARTTAATAATATTTAATCGCTATCGCAGCTGCAATTAGAATATATAATCATTTTGGTGTCGCTACCACAACTCCACTTTCTTCCTTGGAGTCAACGTCTTCACCTCCACTGATGTTTTGACTCTTTTGTCTACTCCTTTGTAGATGGCTTACATTTAACTGATCTAGCGCTTCGTCCAACTGTTGCTGCAGGTCTTCTGCATAAGACGACCACCTTGCCTCTTCACTTTCCACGTGACTATGCAACCGGTTCAGCATTTGTTCCTATACAATTTTAAGAAATGTTTTAATGAGTATAAATTTTGAAATTAAACTATGTGAATATCTTCTATTAATCAGAAGAAATTCATTTATAAATTGTATTGTATTGAAATTTGTTTGTAATTAAGAGGATGCGATACCCGAAAATGTTGTCTCTGTYTTACAACTGCGTAACATACAAAATTTTACGCTCAGCAGATCACGTTTAGCTCCGTTAGTCTAAAAATTAGAGTAAATTGACCTCTTATAAAATTTAAAGGTACGAATATTATTTAGACGACCACATGAAAATTGCACTATATATTAATTTTGAAGCGAGTAATAAGTATTTTAAGATGTGAAAAAAATATTCAATTTTAAAATACTCATAACTCATTTCAAAATATAGTAAAAATCCCATGAGGTCGTCTAAATAATATTCGTACTTTTAAATTTTATAAGAGGTCAATTTACTCTAATTTTTAGACTAACAGAGCTAAATGTGATCTGCTGAGCGTAAAATTTGGTATGTTACGCAGTTGTAAGACAAAGACAACATTTGCGGGTATCACTCCTCTTAGTAAGGCCTAATATTACTAATATTTCTCGAAGTATAATGTATACTGTTCAAACATACCGTATCAGTAATGATCTGCTTGTAATGAATTACTTTGCTTCCTAGAATAGTGTTTTGTGACTTTAAGTTTTCTATTACATTGTCGTGACTGTTGGTTGTCTGCGGCCGCTGAAAAAAAACGGGAAAATTCAAAATTTTTTTTTTGAAATATTACAAATATAAGAGGTAAATATTACAAATATAAGAGGTAAATATTACATATTATATTTAAACCTCCTAGTACCGAGTACAAAATCTATATTCAAATATTATAATATCAGGTATTTACCGCTGCTTTGGTAATACGCTGTTTCTCCTCCTCAGATAACTGAAGCTTGAGTCTCTCAATTTCAGTTCGATGTTGTTTACGCAATTCCTCAACCACTGCGTCATGTTGAGTGAGACGATTTGATATATTCGCCGCAGCCTCACACTCATCCCGTAACACTTTTATCGCGATTTCGTGTTCATCTCTTAAGCTTTTCATTGCGGTCTCGTGTTCAGCTCGCAAACTTTTCGTCATGGTCTCAAGCTCCATGCGTAGATCTTCATTTTGCTTACACAAATCCTTTTTTTTCTCTTGCAGTTCTCGAATCATTGTCTCGTGTTTGGTATGTAAATGTTCTATTTCCTTATTTAGACCTAGGATTGTGTTTTCATGTTCTTTTACAATATTTTCATATTTTACACGCATACCACGGACTTCATTTTGGTGCTCAGTACGCATATGATCTTTAAGCTCACGCATGCTTTGCATTGTAGTTTCTTGACGTTTACGTAGTGCATCATTTTCATTGCGTAATTTTTGGACCAAAGTTTCGTGCTCAGTTTGTAAAGCTCCAATCCTCGCCTCGTGATCTGCTCGTAAGCTTTGCATAGCAGATCGCTGAACAGTTTCATTTTCTGCACGTACACCTTCGATTACAGTCTCATGCTCAGTCCAGAGATTCTTCATTGAAATCTCGTGTTTCGTGCGCAGGTTTTCGTTTTCTTCGCGAAGACCTCGAACTATAACCTCGTGGTCCTTGCGAAGATTTTCATTTTCTTCACGTAGGACCCGAATCACCGCCTCCTGCTCCTTTTGAAGTTTGTCGTTTTTCTCACGAATATCCTGAAATGCGATGGCCTCGTTTTCTGAACGCTTTAGATTTTCGTTGTCCTTGACAGAATTTTGGATTGCCGACAAATCCTCAATGTGGGTCTCTTCCACAACAGTCTTGTGAGCCACTTGCGAACTCTGAGACGTAGACTGCTTCAGGTTCTCAAGTTCCATGCGCAATGCATTCATCATTGTATCATGCTTGGCTTGCAATGCTGCCAGCTGGACTTCACGTTCCGCGTTCAATGCTTTCACTGCTGCATCATGCTCCACTCGCAATCGCTTCGTTGCCGCTGTTTCGCGTTCTGCGGTACGCAAACGTTCGGCTACAGAGATATTTTTGGCTCGTAAATTCTCGTTTTCCACACGCAGGCGTTTGGTCGTCGTTTCATGTTCTGCACGCAAAACCTTAGACTCTTTATCATGTTCAGCTCGCAACGATTTCACTGAAGCGTCATACTCGGCACGCAACCGTTTTTCTGTTCCGTCGATCTCAGCTTTGTAATCGATATCTCGGCGGCTTTGCTGCCATGGTGGTTGTTTATCTGTCACAATCGCGGCTTTTGACGATGCAGTTGACGAAGCGCCAATGTCATTGATAGCAGGTGAAGCGACTTGGAGCTGCGATGACTTATCACGTCGCCGTTGTTGCGATTGTTGTTGTGGCACCTGCTTATCATGCCGCTGTTGTTGTTTTTCTTTTTGCGGTTGCTTCTCTAGTTGATGCTTCTTTTCATGATTTTGTTGCTTCTCTTGTCGTTGTTGTTTTTCTTGTCGCTGAATTTCTTCTTGTTGTTTTTCATGTCGCAATTCTTTATCATGTTGAAGCCGTCGACGTTCAAGTTTAGTTGAAACGGATATGACTACGTTATCTTCCCGCCGTTGATTCTGTTTTTTCTTATTTAAATCACTGCTACTATTGTTAATGACATTGACAGAATTGGCACCACTACTTCCGCTCGTCTACAATAAACAACAATACATTTTACTATATTATTAGTGTTGATATTTATATATTTAATTTAAATWAAATTTAAAWTTTTTTGACATTTCATGCTACAATCTCGCTTTAACCCTTTAATCGCTGAACTTGCTTCCAACTCGCTTCCTAGCAATCCCCTACGACATCTAAAGAGAAAATGGTGTCGTGACTTATTAAACGATTGGCGGTTATTAAATCATTTAATTTAATTTGATTTAATTTAAATTAATAATTAATAATAAAAAAAATTAACGTTGGGGGGTTCTATCACTGGATGACCTCCCCGTACATGTGTTCAGGTTGTAAAATTGTATTAATTGTTAAGTTCAAATTTACTTATTATGCCTGTAACATATATTGCAAATATTCTTTTTAAATAAAAAAAKAAAAAATTGTTTTTACATACATTTTTCAATTAATAATTAATGAATAATCTACTTGTATACAAATCAATCAATTTTACACTATACATTACATACATAAATTTTGAAAAAAAGTAATTTATAAATTTAATTGCACTAGTATTACCTAAAAAAGATTCATTTATTCTGTTTTTGAATAATTGATAAAAATTAAAAAGTTATTTAAAAAAAGARAAACTTGAATTTCTTGATATTATTATTTGTGTTAGACCTACTATTCAATTTTATTTAATATTTTTTTATTGTACTTTGAGATTTCGAATCCATACTTATTTTTGGACAGAGTAGTCAAAATAACAATGAACAATGGTTTATAGAAAATTAATTCCAAAAACCCAATTTTTACAAACAATATAACAAAATATCCACCAGTCATAAAAAATAAATATCAATTCGAATATTATTTCTCTAATAAAAAATTTAACTGTATTAATTAAGAATTTTTTCATCAGAAATGTGCTTAAATGAGTTATTTTAATGTATTATTAATACTCGTATTATCCGTATAATAAAATGTATTCTCTCAAAAATAATRAAGATAAAAAAACCGTGAAATTAAATCGATTAATTAAATATTTATTTAGTCGGTTGGAAGAAATGAATAAAGATTTGGTCGAAAATTAAATCATATTTAACCTACCAACAAATTACGCAACAAACAATTCATATGTTATAAAATATTGTTCAACCTTTTAAAATATCTGCAATCTAAAAACACAATGCCGTAAGCAACATATTAGTGTCTACCAAAATTATGAAAATAAATAGTTCTTTGAATAAAAAAAACTCGTAGGTAGATATTTTTAAAAATTATGGAGCGACTGAAACTAAGTACTGAAAACATTTAACTCTAAATATAAACATACCTATAAAAAACGTCGAGGATGTATCAATTACTTAAACATTAACCTAATTGGGAGAAACAATGTATAAAATATTTGGCTGAAATTATAATCAAATTAATAACAGCTTAATAAAAACTTAGGAATTTGGATTTACGAAAATATTTTAGAACCTTTTTGTAATTACTAGGTGTCAGTAAAATTTATATAGTGTCTACCAAATATCGATAAATTCCTTGAATCAAATAAATAATTAAAATCTATTAAAATACATTATTTAAATTAAAAAAAAAAACGTAAGTACTATCAAAATGATCACTATCATGTTTTTATTTTTATTTTTAGTTTCTATATATTTTTTTTTCATGTTGTTTAAAAAGGCTTGAGCCCGCTGATTATTATAAATAAATAAATGATTGTGTGGTTGGAAACTCCTGATTACTGATTGTTTAAAAAGGATCATAAAGGTATTGTAATACCCCTATCGGCTATCACCCGTATGATTTAATGACGTACCGCGAGCAAAATTAAAAATGTCAAAACAGGTAACAACTATAAAAATATAAGTTTAATTATCAAGTAAAACAAGTGACCTTACTAGAAAATAACTAAAGGTTATTATTTTCTGACAAAAATGGGAAAAGTATAATTTATTAATAATATGTATTATCATTTTATTTAATAATAAAATCGAAATTTATTCATTATCTATTAGTCATTACCCATTACGGACAGATCGTWTTAATTTATATCCGCGTAGTCACTATATTTTATACAAAATTTTAAATAAGACGTATTTGTTTAAAACCACACCGGACACGTCATACCATAATAATAATATCGTAAAACATTTATGTACCCATACATATACAATAAATTAAGTATTAGGTACTCATTACTCATTAGTTACTAGGAATAGTAATTCTAATAAGTCACGTATTACCATATTATACAAAATATATACGATATTAATTGTAAGTAGACGACTGACTTATCGACTGTGCCACATGTCATATAATATAAATGTGAGTAACACGTTAACACCATCGTAAAAACTGATTTCACGAACTATTGGAAACGTATTTAAATTCTATAACTATACRGTCCCAAATGTACATAATAAAATTGTATTGTTTGCATGTACATATTATGAAATTAAATTAATGCACATACGAATATACGTTACCATTGTGATCCATTCGCCCTGATCCTCGTCGTCATCGTACGTGGCTGCAGGGTCGTCCAAGACCAAGTGATCCTCGTCGGCGTGCAGGCTGTGCGATGACCAAGATGATGAGCGGCGACGATGGTCGTCGCTTTCAGCGGCGTCTGCTGTCCCTGGCGCCAAGTTGTAATCGCCACTATTGGTAGAACTCTCGCCGCCACTAGGAGACTGCTCCTGTTGCTGCCGTTGGCGACGAGCCCGGCGGTTCCGCTCGCTGGAACGATCTGCAACGGTCGCGTGACCGTTGCCAGCGACCACCGCCGCAGTTTCTGACGCCTTGTTTGCTCCACGATGACCGGTATACGTTGTCGACGCGTTTTCAGTGGCGTCACCGTCATCCTTTTTCTTCTTCTTGTCGCCGTTTTTACTGTTCGTGGGATGGCCGGAACCGTTCCAACCAGTAGAGCTGGTAGCACCCACGACCGCGGTGTTGGTGCTGGCAGACGCCTGCTGACGAACAGCGACATTTCTGCTGCCGTTGTTTTTCTTCTTTGGTTGGACCGTGGCCGACGTTGACTTCTTTTGCCTGGATGCCGGCGTAAAACCATCGCCATCATTTCCGCGTTGGTGACGGGTCGGCCTCCGTTGCCGGTCGGTAGACGACGAAGACGCAGCCCAACGCATCATGCAAAAAAATGCGCAGCTGAACGCCACCGTGACGAGCAGCGCCAGGACTATTGCCCGCAGGCCAGCTGCTTCAGTGGCAGCAGCCGCAGTCTCGACGAAATTGTTCATATTGTATCTAAACGTGCCTAACTAGTAGGATGAAAAAATAAAAAACAAAATTATTATAAGTCGTACAACATGGTAATATTGTGGTGGCGGATCTTCGCCGTAGTCGCCAGTTCGCAACCGTCGGTACCCCTGCCGAAGTGCCGAACCACAAAATGCACGGCACGAGTGGTAACAGCAGCAGTGGCGTCGACCGTCACGACCATGAAGACGACGACGATTGTAAATTGTTGAAATATTGGTAGGTAGGTTACCATAAATGTAACAATGGACGCGGTCCCGACGACGATAATCTAACGATTTATGCCCCGTCTGCTGCAGTGTCCGCCGTGACGATATTGTTGTACAGGTAGGCGCAGGTGGGTAACTGCTGCTGCCGCCCCAAAACTCGACGCAATAAATTCCTGACGTGCTCTCTGGTAAAAGGTGCAGTAGWGTACCGGTCGACGTCCCGGCCGTGGAATACTGAAACGACGACGACGATCAACAACGCGTCGCGACACTACCGCTCGGTCGAACCATACGACGATACATCATTGTCATCAGGCCTACCTATGRGCAGTAAGCGCGTACCGAACACGACGACGACGATACGGCTCCAGAGTGCGTATGGTATGTGCGACGTCCGTCGTACCGGTAGTGGCGGCCGGTCGCTGTAAGTACGCCACAGGATTCTTACCGTSGACACCGTCGGTGCGCTGCCGCGATGGTGACGTGGACACTGCCGTCTGCCGGYACTCGGTAGTGGTGGTCTCGGTCGACGAAATCGTGGTGGTGTCGGCGGCGGCGCTGTTGTCGTCGGCCTATCTGATATCTTGTATTCTTGTGAGATAGTGGCGGACGTCCACTCCGTGCTCCACCGCGCATGCGCGCGCGTGGTTGCGCGTCGTCGCACCGACCGAAACATGGTCACGGACGGACACTGGTTCGCAGCAGCATTGTGGTTGTGCGGGTGAGGGACGTGGCGATAACTCCGATCATCCACTACGTCCACCGCGCAGCCTCCGCCGCCGCCGCATTCCTCGACGGCGCCCGCCACAAACCACCCCACTATTGTCGTAGTGTGCCGTACTGCCGACGCGTTGTTAGTTGTGACCATAGAACAAACAATAGTTTTTGTCGCTCGTGACAATATTAACTTTTCTTGCGTGCAAATATTACGACGGCGGCATAATAATAATAATAATTGCAATTATTATACAGTATTATTTTATATCACTCGCACACGCGCATGTACAGTATTCAATATTCAGTACAGGCAGTACACTAATCGGCGCTAAACGTTGAATACTTTAGCACCCGCTTCAAGTATCGTGACAAAAACATCGACTTTACGGGTGAGCAGATAGTATTGCTGGATGGTTTGGACCGTATTCGTATCTCATCCGACACTAAAAGTGCGTATTCGATCGTTGTGTTAAGTGCATAATTGTAACATCGTTTTATTTCATTATGTTTATGTTGATAAAACAGTTAATGGAGATGGCTCTCGCATTGAGCGTCCTATTTCGTGGACAACTGCTTACAAAGTGGCAATGACTGATGATGCTGACAACTAAATGCTACTGTGATGTTACTTTAGCTACTGAATGCTAAATCTACATYGACGACCGCAAGGTCTTTTACAACCAATATGACGATACAAACTGCATTAAGAGCTGTTAACCATAATTGCRAGGGATACATGCAATAATGATTGCTTCATTAAAGTTTATCCGCACAGAAATTGTTGCAATGGCCGTTATGTTAGTGCTGATGCTGCTAGTCACCACTGCAGCTGCATCTGTATTACCAAGTAATAAAATATATAAACATATTTYTTTGTTTTTTGGAAATTGGCGCACAGATGTTAATTGTTTTATTTTTTTATCTTTTAAGCAGAAGATACCAGTCTTGTAAAGTATTCGTATAACTGTATTCAAATATTTCAAATAAAAGTATTCTAATACATAGGTATTCCGAATAACTTTTTTAGTATTTTTTTATTCATTAAAAAGTACTTTTTTAACTAAAAAAAAAAGGAAAATCGTTGTATGCTATCTACATAAAAAATGTATCTACCACAATTGCTTGTTAGCATTGTATGTTATCTACAATTTTATACCTGAAATTTGTAGATTGTAGCTTAGGTGTTGTTTGGGCATCTAGGCATTATTACATTAAAGACATTTTTTTCATATCTTCAAAAAACTGGTCAAAAAGGTTCTCTTGGTTGCATTGTGTCAACGCCACCACRGTAGAGTACCATCAACTGCCGTTTCTAAGTTGGTGGCACCTTGTGTTTTTATGCTAATTTTAATTTGACACGTCTCCACGTAGACTCTATAGATTGGGTATTGGCCCTTGTTTCTGGATCAATGAATTGTAGCTGGTGGCTTACAGTTTTATGCAYATAGCCGTGGTCACTTAAATTACTGTAAGCCCTCCATTTGTACGAGTAAACTGTTGATTCAACTTCTACTTCACGTTGAATAATTGGAAATAATGTAACTCTATCTCTCTTTTCAACTATAAAAAATATACAGTCAGTAACATCATCATCTCATTTACAGTACAGTCCGAAAACCCATGAACCCTATACTTGTGACCCATAATTTTTGTAAACAGGTTCACAATCATCAAAACCATCAGATGAGACGTGTGAAGTAYGAGTTCTTATGGTAGCCGGCGTACAATCGCCTATATACAGACGTCCTAGGCGATACTTACGCTTCCCTTGGAATAACAACTCGTCAATTTGAAATATTACACCGGTTTCTCCCATTTTTGAACAAAGTTCAAATTGATCAACACAAACGTCTCACCATAACTTAAATTAATCAGTAACAGGTGTCTTGCTCTGCCGGTCCATTTTGCAGTATTTGTTACGTTCACTTCATTGCACCAATACCAAACTAACCCACTATGTGACACAAACTTGGACCACTGTTGTTTTTTTCATTTACGTCAACATAAATAAAGAATTTATTTTGTTTTCTGATGGACTGAAATGTTTGGCATCCTTTCTTCTGACAACATAAATACTTTTCTTTAATAACTTTACCTTCTCCATCACGTTGTCGAGTATTCTTCATATATATTCCTTAAGGGCCCCTCCACATACTTCATTATTTAAATTAACTTTTTTGCATACTTTAGCAGTGGGAAAAACACCACATTCTTTTTAAAAAAAATGGTGCAAGTTTCGTCATTGTAAATAACATGTTTATAAAAGTCAATAAAATGTTCCATTTTGATTTAACAAAAAAATAAATAAAAATAATTCACTTATAAWAAAATTATTTAAGCATACACCACTTTTACGAGTCTTAACCAAACCAAAASTCATAAGACATATTATGTCTACTAGCTATGATATGTGAAAAGTGTAGGCTGTAGAGTGTATTATACGGTTATACCTGCAATATCAGTTTCCGTATAAAGTAGATATCACCCGAAAGGTAGACAACATATAACGCGATCAAAGTACAGGTAGATAACATACGACGCAAGTTCCATAAAAAGTTATTTGTGACAAAACAAATTTTTCTAATAAAAATAAGACATATTTTAAGTTATGAACAATGGTTTTTCTCTTTGAATGAAATATGATTGACTAACGTTAATCTCCAACCATTCCTCAAAACTAACAAATTTTTTGCAGAAATAAAATATTATAATTTAAATACTTTTTCTARCATTTGAATATGTATTCAGAATATAATTGCTTAAATCTATTTAAAATACTTTGTGCTCCTTTATTTTAATACAAAATAAAAGTAYTCTTTACAAGATTGGAAGGTATTTTCTATTTTTTACATTCAAATCATTGATTATTTTTATATTTCCCCTGAGTTATTAAACCAACTTGATGGAATAAAATAAGTTATACCTAATTATATTTAGATCGCAGAAGAATGCAAAAGCAGTGCCCGCGGTGTTGTCGGTTTAAAACAGAAAAAAAATGTATCTGTTTGTTGACATGAGTATAGCCTATTTTGAACAAATTCCATTAACATCATATTATAATAAGATACTTGCTTATGAATATTTTTTCAAATTTAGATATCAGTCCTTAATAACATTAAAAACTGAGTAAAATATAGAGGATTTATTTTTCTTCTGAGATAACATAAATTATATATTTTTTTATTCTAATTTGTAATATAGTGTGTGATGGGTCTAAGAAACAGTCATAGATATTAATCTTATCATAATATTATATGGACTTACTTTGATCACACACAATGATTTCAAAATATTTAATCCTGTACTAAATTAATGTTAGTTTATCTGAGAAATTAGAATTATTTAATTAAGCATAAGTCAGTAATGTACCTAATACATAATCAGTTAATTCACTTGAAAGGCATTCATRATAATATTTCTATGTGTTTTAAATTCTRATTTATATAGATACTTCCTACTTCAGTTAGCATATATTTAATACCTAAACTACCTTGTACTTATAGTTGATATTATCTCTGCTACAGTTATTAAAAGTATTGTCATTGAAATCTTAAATACCTAATTAATTATTTACTAACTTTAATGGCCTAAATATATTTTAATATTGGCATTTATTTCTATAAATATTTATATCTTGAACTTAAAAATCTGGACCAACAAGAGAAAAAACTTTACCTTTTCTTTTATATGTAATTAACTTAATTGCTTACTTGTTATGTCAGAGGCATTATTAAAGTATTTGGCATATTGTCATTCATTGCATTTATATGACGGAGCCAAAGGTTAGGTACTTGTAAACTTAATAACTGAAATTATCAAAAAGAAATAAGTATCCTTAGATTTCCAACCCTTTTAGCCCATCATATAAATGTACCAATTGTTTGTGCCTAAATTATGTATTCGTTACAATAGTGAGTATAATATTCAATTTRAACTCATATATATTATGAATTTATGAATATATTAAAAAATATATTTTGTCAAATGTTATTCTATGCATTAGTCTATTAACGGCAGGGTAGTCATACATAACACATATGTATATAATACATATATTCTTATTTGCCACTAAGTTTTAATAATAAATTTGTCTAATTTATTATGAACCTATACCTACTAAGATTTTTGCTTAGATATTATGATGATATTGAATATTTAGGGGGAAACTCCACAGTGTAGTCAAGCGACTAACCTGACTCCCCATGTGGACACATGATTCTATGTCTATTAAAATTAAGCACTCACCAGTCTTCTACAAATTATTTTTATGATTACTATAGTACACAGTTAAACTCTTTTTAACACTAGTTTTGAGTTAGACATGAGGTTTGGTAAAACATTTTTTAGTACTTACCTAAAGAAGCAAATAATCTATTAATTGTTTTTTTTTTTTTAATTTTTAAGTTACCATTAAATGGTAAAAACCATAGAAATGAATAAGTGTTAAACTAACATAAAGTTTGAGGTTTACTTATTGTTTAGACTATAGACAACAAAAATTAATGATTAGAATTTTGATATAACATTATTATTTTATTTTTGTTGTTATAATATTTCTATATTTAAAAAAAAATAATATTTATAATTCATTATTATTGTTTCAGAAATATTTTAATACAAAATTGTTGTACCTACTCAGTATAAGTCATAATTCATATTATGTCAAAACTACATGTAGTTCCATTCTTACAACCATTCTAACTATGACGTTTGGTATGGAATTATTTTGTAAAAGCTGTTTATAAAACATATGTTTATGTATGTTACAACATTTTACAAATTGAAATTAGCTTAGAATAGGTTTTAAAAATGTATGATCTATTCTAAATAATTAAATAACGAGATTTTGAAATATTTATAATAATTTAATATTATACACCATCTTGAGATAAGTTCTCTAATACGGACTGAACAATGACTTAAAAACTATTAAAAATGATAATTGTTGGTATACCTGCATTAATGAAAAACTGATGATGACCATGCTTGCATTTATTATGTGTTGATTTCTATTTTTGGATGCCTTGGTGATGTTTATCTGACATTCTGTCTTGTTACACAGTTGAACCAGTGGCCACCGCAGAAAAAGGGCCTGMCGGACAGCAGAAAAAACCAGGAGGGAATGGCATATCGTCTATAGATCTATACCACTCGATGGAGATGGGCGAACAGGAAAAGCTTGAAAGCCTCGGTAGCAATGACGACGAGGACGATAGCGATAAAGAAAACGGTGACTCGCTGCTGTCCATGACGAGCGGTGGTGACGACGACAGTGACATTGATCAGGAAAATCTGGCGGAGTTGCTGACTTGCATGTCGTGTTCCGGCAAGTTGCCTGCGCAGTGGGATGCTGACATAGACGAGCAGTCATACTGTTTGTATGACGGTGGCCAGCCACTGACTCAAAACAACGGTAAYGTGGATGAAGAATTATATGTGTGTTCGGGGGCTGTGCGCGTGAGTATTTAATTTATTGCGATATTAATAATATAATATGTAGAAAGCTGTCCTCCAATTCATTTGTTCTCTCAGGCTGACATAACCCAGCCTAGCCGTATGTTATTGTGGCTTAGTGATTTAATGGACATCTTATTATGTCGGCTATTCAGGTACAATTACCCAGCCTCTCCACCATAGGTCCACTGTTTTTTTGTTCTCAATAGAATCTTTGTTTTGACCTATTTATTACTAAATTTGAAATATGTGTTTAATCGTATTGGATTCTATTTGTGATATAAAATATAATTGTATTATAACATATTATGTATCACATATAAATAAATCATTTAAATTTTTTTTCATACCTAGGGACGAAGTCAGTGGTTTGATAATAACTTAAACACCTTTTTATTACAGAAATAGTGTCATATCCTATACATCAATAAGAATATAAACACTATTAGTACTTTAAAAAGGCTGTTTTTATTATCTCCGTACTAAGTATGACAGTAATGCTATTTTATTCACACTTGATATTTATATTGAAAAATATCAAAAAAACATAATCATAAATTATTATTCTTAAAATCGAGTTTTAGACAGTGTTGGGTAAGTTACTTTTTAAAAGTAACTAAGTTATGTTACAAGTTACAAAATAAAATAGGTAACTAGATTACTTGTTAGTTACTAAGTACAAAAGTAATGTGTAACATTACACTTTTTTTTTCAAAAGTAACTAGTTACAATGACGTTACTTTTATGTTATGTAAGTTTTAAATTTAAAAATGTCTATTTTAAATCAATCTATTTTTATATTTATTTTATACAAATAATGCTAATTTATAATCAGTTAAATTGAAAATAATATTTACTCAAAATCGTTTATTTATATAATTATATTAGATTATTATACTGGGAAAATGTTGTAATTATATAAATATCCGGATGCGAAGGCAAGAACTGCTCCGTGAAGTTGAAAAAAAAAAAAATTTAATTTATAATGTAATGCGTTCTTCTGACAAGTTACTTCTAAATAATTAACGTAGTTACACTTGCGTTACAGTAACGAGTAACGCACGTTACATTACTACCCAACACTGGTTTTAGAATAGCATGTAAATTAAAATTACCAAGATTTTGTCTTCATTTTTGATAATTTAGTTGTTACGTTTATTGTTATTATAATTTTATCACACTTATTTTCCCATTAACATTTTATATAGTGTTGGAAAACAAAAGTGCGTGAAGAGGATGGCTTTGTGCGTATCAGTCGTGGCTGTATGGGCGGTGGACATGGTGGTGGCCACCGACATTCAAGCCAAACCAACGCGGAACTGCATCCTTGTATGGGTGCTATTAGTAATGATTTGACAACAAAAAATAATGATAGCTCAAAGCAACCTCGGATCTGGACGTCTTCGCATACTTTTTCATCCGCGTCCGCCGGCCAGCAACTGCCACCTACCTATGCGATCGAATGTTGCAATGGCCGTGATCGCTGCAACGATGGTCCGTTTCCATCATTACCGGGTGGTGATTTATCAGCGATCGACGACAACGGTTCTCTGCTAGCAGCTGTGACCGGGTGGTGGTGGTTATCCATCTTCGTGGCAGCGTTACTATTCGCCGTTGYTATTGTGGCTACATTCACTTTGAAAAATAGGAAACGGCGAAAAAGAAGTAAAAGTAGCAACAGTAGAAGGAGCAAACGGCGTAATCGAAGTTCTACGGTTGATGATGATTTTTTGCCCCCACCTTACCAACGATGGAATGACAACCATCAAAAAGATCACCAAGAAAATGACTGGACCAGTGGCAGTGGGTATGGCATGCCCCTACTGATTCAACGTACTTTGGCCAAGCAGATACAACTCCGGCAACTCGTTGGCAAGGGTCGTTATGGTGAGGTGTGGCGAGCCACTTACTGGAACGGCGGTCACGAGCAAGTGGCGGTCAAAATATTCTTATCAAAGGACGAACCGTCATGGAAACGAGAGACGGAAATCTACAGGTATATTTGATCTGTTCATTTTCATATGAATTAGAAATTCGATCGCTCAAACTGGTGTGTAAATTACTATGGTCATTGATATGGTTCATTATCCCGATGCTGGATAATTTTACACCGCTGTTGACCGACGAATTTCTAACTGATGTACAGTACTGACTATAATATTAATATTGATTGTTTGATTCTTACTGAATTACAGCACAGTTCTGATGAGACACGACAATATATTAGGCTTTATTGGTTCCGACATCATGACTTCACGCAACTCGTATACTACGCAGTTACTGCTCATTACTCACTATCATCAGCATGGATCATTGTATGATTTTCTGCAGACTCCTGCTGCCTTGGCCGCTGGTACTATGTGCAATGGATATGGTGTCGACGCTATTGATACTGCGGGAGGTCGAATTCAGCAAATCGACCGAGACAGACCGCCGCTCACTGTGCGCCAAATGTTAAATGTGCTGTACACTGTGGCCAGCGGGCTGTGTCACCTGCACACTGAAATCAACGGCACGCAGGTAATATTTATGGTAGTTTTCTCATTAATATAAATTAGAAAATTATCTGTGTTATACTCATGTATTATAACCTACTCATTATACATCACGGCACCCCATTTATACCGTGTTTATTGACATATGACTACCCCTAAACTCTTTAACTGACAATGGGGACATGTTATCTTATCTGGGTATCAATGTAATATAATTTGTATAAATATATATATGTATATATATATATTACTTTATGAATAGGGTAACGTAAAACCAGTTATCGCACACCGGGACATTAAGAGTAAAAATGTGCTGGTAAAATGCGCAAAAACGGGTGCGTGTTGTGTAGCAGATTTTGGAATGGCCGTGACTAGCCGGGATACGACGCTCCCAATTCAAACAACAACAGCCGCGGGTGCTAACCAAAATACGAGAGTGGGTACAAAGCGGTACATGGCACCAGAAGTTTTAGATGACAGGTGAGATAGTGTTATATTCTGTTTTATTGTGACTAAATCACTTATCTGCATGTATTTTGTTTGTTTTAGTATTACCACTGCGGCCGCATTGGCATTAGCTTCTGCGTCCACTACAGCGACTACAGTGGCATCCTCTTCAAACTTCTCCACCGACACCAACGATACACCAAAGTGTAGGTGCTGCAAAAAGTATTGCCATGCTGACATGTACTCTTACGCACTCGTCATGTGGGAAGTCTTGTCCAGGACTCTCATCACACCTGACATTGACGACGTTGGACAAACTATACAACGACCAAATGACAATCAACAACAATTCGGCACAGATAACAGATACAACCCTTACGTGTACCGAGCACCATACCAAGACCGTGGTGTTGGCTGGGACCCAGGGTTTGATGACATGCGCCGTGTTGTATGCTCTTCTGATCCTGAACAGAATCGTCCTGGTGTGGCGGCTGAGTGGTGTGCAAACCCGGTAGGTTTTGTTTTGTTTTCTTAACAATTGCAATATCTATTATTTTTGATTAAAATGTATTCCCAGCTGAGACTTGCCTATAAATGAATAAATAATTAAATTTATAAATGACTTAGTATAAAGATTGACTTTTTTTACTGTTTTTTGTTTTATATAGATAACAAATGCTGTAGTGATGGTAATGCAACAATGCTGGTTTGGCAGACCTAGCTCCCGTCTGGATTCGATGCGTGTTAAAAAGACTCTAGCTAAGCTCATAGAAAAATATTCCACCATAGAGACTGAACAGCAGGGCCATATTAGCCAATAGGCACTATATATATATATATATATATATATATACTAGCACAGCTTATATACTTATATGTGAACTATGATTACTATTGACTTGAAGTAATAAATAACAGTGGCTGTGGTGAAAACTTAACTATAATAAAGAAAATGTATTACATTTCTCTACTCCCTCCTCCACTTGTTCATTCTTACAATGTTAGTCATCTAAATTTTTTAACTATTACATGATGTTATATATATATATATTATGTACAATACTATTTTTTAACAATAATAATTTTAAGACTACTTAAGTATTTTTTTTTTTTTTTTTATAAACAACTTCATCCTCCAATGACAAGTTATTTGATTTTAAGGAAATTAAACACTTTTTCATAAATAATATGTATTAACAATTATTTAAAACATTTATTTAGGTACAAATTAATAATAAAAAAAAACCTAAACTATTTATATACCTACATGCAATAATACAAAAAGTTAGGTTAATTAATATTTATAAATGAAAATATTAACAAAATCAAAATTGAAAACTTCATGTATATATATTAATATACATAATTACACATTTTAATGAGTACAAATTATAGTCAAGTACAATATTTTTATTTTTTAATATATTGTTACATATAACTTAATATCTTAATACTTAAAATAAATTACTTGATGTTTTTTTTCAATTTAAAAAAGCGTATATAATATACTCGTCATGTTCAACTATACGTCTATACCTATACAGTTAAAAAAAACATAATTAATAAAATAACTTATAATATTTGGTTACTTAAACTAACTATATATTTTTAGGTACATTGTTAAATTGTTAAATTTATTTATTATCAAATATAAATAATAAGTTTTAATAATAATCCATAATCCAATAATTTTTAATAATTAAATGAAAAAAAAACTTGTTCTCAATCTGATAACTAGGGTTAGGGTTAGGTTTATGATTTTGCATATTTTTTTTATGTTGTCCAACAGCATCCATTCTTATACAGAAATATTTTATCCACATATTCAAAATACCAAAATTTTATTTTGCATAATTATAATCACATAGTTATTGTGTAATCTACCATTTTTATCTATAAATAGGGGGTGTAGTGGCCGGGCTGATTAAGGCGTCAGTTGCGACGCGCACCACAGCCGGTTCAAATCCTGGTCACAGGCAGCATCACTTTCCGGGCAGTTCACGCTGTCTGGAWAGAGAAGCCACCGCTTCCCTCCCGGGCATRGCAGAAACCTACGGGTGCCCACTAGAAATTCTGCCTAATAGGCGTCCAAACTAGATCTTCGTGCCTAATCYCGGACATAGCGCCATACGAAAAAAAAATCTATAAGTACAAAAGTTTTTTCTACTTTGAAGAGAAAATTCGATGGGTTTTGAAGTTTCGATACAAAAATCTGAAAAATATATTTAATCTTATATTTATTAGCAATTAATACGAATCTGATAATTTTAATTATCTGTATTTTACAAAGTATTTAACAAATCATCACTTATTTATKGTTGAGAATTCAATATGGTTAGACGGAACTGATTATAATGTTATATTAACCAAAAATAATTTGCTTAAATTAAATCTATTATTTAAATATGTGATATATTCAATATATATGTGTTTTAAGGATAGCTTAATATTTTCTAATAGTAAAAACATTCATTTAAAAAAAAATCATAAATCAATAATTTAATTGAAATGATTACTAAACCTTAGGGGTATGCAATTTAACAATGTCTGAGGTCTTATAGTGTTAACTACTAGATGATATTTAAATAATAAGTCTAATTTTCCAGTATAAATTATAACAAAAAATAGAAAATCTATTAACACATTATTGGGAAACATTTTTTGTTGAAAATAAATAGTTTGTATGAATCTAAACATAAACTTTCATGGTAAGACTTAAAATCTTGAAACCATAAAAATATGTATAATAACTATCTAAACTATCTTATAATATAAGTGTGTAAAAATGCTAAAAATTAAAAATTAGCTTACGGTTATTATACCTACCAACTGTGAAAAGTAGCATAAAAACATTTTTATTGTTAGTTTTACTTTTCATAAGTACCTACAACCTACGCATATTTTCTAATAAAAATATAAATAGTTATTTATAATTTTTATGATTGAAAAATGCACAAGATATAATGCATAATTGCCAATACAAATTATACTTCTAAAACATTCTATAATAAATTAAACAAACATTGTGTACAATATAAATATATAATATAGTAAAATTATTGTATTACGATCAAAATAATATCAATGAGCAAATAGTTTTAATTAAGATCAAATTGAATGAGAAAAGTTTATGGAAACTAGTAAATACTATAAGCTTTTCAAGGGCACTAAATAGCTTATCCTACAAACTTCTATGTTAATGTAAAATCGTTACAAACTAACCAATTGTGTTAGATTACATTGGGAAATGATGTAGGTCATAGGTAAGTATACTAATTTAAAAAATAATATATTAAAATCAGATGGTCAGAACAGTACCGTAATTAGGAATTTGGTTTAGGGGGGGGGGAGGATTATATGTTTTTAGTAAAATTTGTAAACTTTATACAGCGGTAATCTACTCCACCAAATATAAAAGGTTAAAAATAAAATAAGTTTTGGTAGGGAATCTATCCTCCTTTATCACACCCTTGGGTCGGAAGACACGTCTACTAATAAGCTATGTATTGGTCAATAGAATAGAAAAATACCATGCTGTAGATTCAAAATGATATTTCACAAAACTAGCTGTTTTTTCCCGCAAATTAAGATTAAATTGTCTTGAAATTGATGTAAAATCACCAAAATGATCACAGTTTATAGAGGAAAATCCATAGATATCTGTATAATTTATGAAAGTTGACCATTTTATGGTTCTTATTATTATCAGAAATTATGGTAAAACTTAAAAAACGTATCAGGTTGCTATAAATTTATATTATTACTATCTCTTCTAAATGGATCATTTCATATAGGAATAAAAAAGATAAAAAGATATCACAAAAATTATATATTTTATTATAATTTATAATAAAGTATAGGTATAATAAATAGTATAATATGATAAATTTATAAATAATAAAATTGAACATTGTCACATAGAACAATAGCGCAAAATACAAAATACTGATAATATAATATTTAACAGATAAGTAATTAATTATTTTTCATTTTTATTTATATAATWAAGATTAAAGATATATACCTAAGCCTATAAATATTTATTTTGTATTCAATATCCGTCATAATTATAATGCATATTTCCTATACTGATTGTGTGTTTAATTTGGGTCTGTATTTATTTAATACGGTTAAAATTTTTCTAAATTATATCTACTTTAAATAATAATGATAATAGAAAGAAAATAGTCTATTAAAAAAATATTATTTACTTTTGTTTTGAAAATTGTCTGTARACTGTAGTATTATCTCATGCCTGAGTAAACTTGACTAAATAATAATAAAATTATTCACAAATACTTTTATATTGCTCCTTAGTTATAATTAACGAGCTTGTATATGCTTACAAGTATAGTTACTATACTATAGTATGTAATAAAGTATTATACTTAGTACCTATTTAAAGTATAGAATAACTCTTCAATAATTAACTTTTTCGTTCAAATTTCGATTATATTACGTCAATATTTCTGACTTAATCAATGAAAACATTTTATCGAATTGAAACTAAATAAAAARCGAAAAACACGACGTTAGTTTTAGATATTTTAACTTTTCGTTTCATTAGAATAGACTAACAGATAATATTATACTGTTTTTTTTTTTTTTTATTAATTTTATTGTAAGCTTACAACAAGTGTTTTCTGAGAAAAATAAATAATTAATGCCTTTAGATAAAATAATATTATTATTGGAATTCAAATTCAAATATGTTGATAATGTTTATTGTTGATATATGTATTTAACTAATTTGTTGACTAAAACACTGGTACGTTTTCTTCTTGTTTTATTATATTTCTACAAAAAACGTAAGAAATCAAAATAAAAAATCAATTTCGTTTATAAAGTCGTACAAAATTAGTACAATTCAATTAAAACTGTCACCTTTGGTAATTAAAGTTTTGAATAAAATACAATTGTATAGGTCATATTCATATTAAATTTCTAAAATCGTAATACAAATTGAGTAATATAACTATGTAGCTTATTATATTATATTATACAAATTATTTGATATGTAGCTAATTTATCTATTTATGTTAATATTTTAAAATTTACCGAATTCCATTATTATAAGGCACAAGGAAGTATTCTAATGTGTATAATTTTTAACAGAAAGAAAGATAGTAGATTGGTCATTGGTAGCTATTACCTGAAGATGTGGATATATATAATAAATACCTACCACCTATTATATATTACTATGACGATAAGGCACCTATATAAATATAATATATATTTATATATTTATGTTTCTATTCAAAAAAATATTTATAATCTGTTAACTAAAAATGGGCAAATTAGATAAGTACAATAAGTACATGGTAAATAATAAAAGTTTCACATGAATAATTTRTCGAGAWAGCTGTACCTATGTAGAATAATTCAAATGAAAATTATTTGGTCGGTTATTTTTCTCTTAAAATAACTAAGATAATAACTAGGGAACGGATTTAAATGCTCTAAAAAACAAGAAAAATGCCTTAAAAAAATACGATTTTATGCCTTAAAAAAATGCTTTAACATCAAAAAATGCATTAAAAAAATGCCCTAAAAAACTTTAAAAATGGGTATATATTCAATAAAAACAAAATTTTGTATTTAAAACTTATAAAAAAACATATTATTATGAAAAATCTAATAAAAAATATTTAAATACAATACAACCTTAATTAATTAACTTTAGATAAATAGTTTATCGTTTCTTATCTTTAACTTAATGTGGGTAATAATCTGTTGTAACTTGTATGTATATATTTTGTGTCTACACGTGTCAAAAATAATTTCGTAACATAATACATATTTAGGTATTTTAATTTTTTTTTTTTAAAAAAATGTTGAAAAAATGACTTAAAAACCACAAAATGCACTAAAAATTTCAAAAAATGCTCTAAAAATGCAAAATAAAAGTTACATTTTTTAATTCTTTGGTGTATGAAATTAACTTTTTGCTTGGAAACCAATGTTTTCGGACATTCAGAAAAAAATGCAATTTGCATTCAAATCCGTTCCCTAATAATAACCAATGGAACTTTATTTGTCATTGTAAATACAAAGAAAATAATTT